TATTCTTCTATAGACCTTAGCTCAAAAGTCACTTGTGCCAGAGAGTCTTTCTTGAGCCTCTGATTCGTTTTATTTTATATTCCCAAAGCACCCTAAGCTTTTCTTCCATAGCAGTTTTCACAATTATTTAAATGATTACATAAGTAATTAATTGTTTATCAGTGTTCCCAGGCTGTCAGCTGCACAAGGGCTGGGAGTCTGATTTGTTCACACGGTATCAGTCCACTTAGCACTATAATTTCTAGAGTAGGAACAAACTAAATGTTGATTGACCTTGTGAATCAAAGAACTGCAAAGCATACACATTCAGTTCTAAATCATTTCCTTTAATTAAAAAAAAAATCATTGAAAATGATCACTAATTTCTCCTATATATTGAGAATAATAGAGGCAGGAAAATTGCAATGTCAAATTCAACTTACAGTATTCAATCCTGACTAAGCCTCGAGCAGACCTGGAATGAGAGACTTTGGTGCCACTGTCCACATTTCCAGTCTCTGTCCTTCCCCAGCACACCTCTTTCAGTGGAGACCAGTGGGGTCAAGCTAAAGCTGGAACTCAAAATGCCTCCAAGGCAATGAGAGGAGCAGGGAGCATCTTCTCTGAGATTCCTGGTTACCACTCCAACCTCCTGACCCCAGGTCTCCCTTCATCTAAAAAGTCTGAAAAAACACTTAGGAGCTTTTCTACCCTTGCCATGAACTTCACACCAGAGCCTGAATGGAAAATGAGTTTTACAAATGGGCAGGACGAATTGCAATTTGGCATGCACAGTTAACAAACGTGGGCATATCCCTGTTCTTGAACATGTGTTGTAAATAATAAATTACAGTCAGTGCATAAAAAGAGATTTACCCATTATGGTATGTCAGGTGGTGTGACTTATAATTGTCTCAGCTAAATGAGATATATACTCTTGCATATAAAGGAGACACCGATGTGTCTAGTTAAGTATTTTTATCAGACTATTTATGAGAATCATAAAACGATGTAATTTGATTTCTACTAAACCAAGTCAAAAGTTCAACAACAACAAAAAGATACATCACTGAGATTCTTCAGAAACGGCAGCCTCTTGTCCATTAAATCTGCAGTAACTTATGCCAGGTCCTGATATGAAGCTCTTTCTGTGCCTGGTACTCACAGGAGAGGCCACCATAGAACAGGAGCCTTCTGGTATTAGAGAAGTCTCCAAAATTGACTCTACAATCAAGCCCATCATCCTTAGTCTGACTCTTTCTATCTCTTCCTCTCTCCCCGCCTCTCGGCCTCACCTTATGCCCTATATACTGCTGCAGGGTTCCAGGCTCTTATCCATGCCATTCCCTGCTTCTACGAGTCTTCTCCCCATCAGCTTAGTTTCCTGATGCTGTGTCTTCCTCTCCAGAAAGCCTTTCTTTACTATCCCACCCCCCAGATTAGCTTCTCTTCTGTGCTCTCAGAATACCTTGGACACATGTCTGCAATAGCACTTACCTTATTAACATGTTTAATTTACGTTTCAAACTCTTTCTTTAATCAGTAGTCTTCAAAGTGGAATGATGCATCTGAGCAAGGGAAGGGAGTGGCATGTCACAATTCACAGGGATGAAGCCAATAAAGATTAATATATGAGTACATTTATTTTTATCTAATCATTCTTATTTTTGCTTTGAATTGGACATAATATATACATATAGGAGTATATGTACCTATATTACAGTGCATGTGTGTTATTAAGCCAAAGGTTCATTAGCAATAAGTTTTTAATGATGACTGACCTAGATTATATATTTCTGCACAGCAGAGATTGTCCCTTATTCATCTTCCAATATCTAATATTTGATTTAAAAATGGTTGCTGAACTCAAATCAAGATCCATGCCCTCCTCCCTTCCACAACAGAATGCATGCAGCCAGGGCACAATCAACTAGGGAAGATTGCTCTACAGTGAAGTCCTAAAGACTCAAAGATTCAAAGCAAATGAGCGAGATTAGAGATAGCAATTTGCTAGAATGGATTTTTTTGCTATCGGAGATGATTTCCTTCCTTGATGGTAGGAAGTGGTCATGGGAGACAACACGGGAAGGAAGTTTATCTGGGCTCTCCAGTTTTAGCTGATATAGCCACAGATGGATCCCAAAATCTGCACATCGTAGTTATTTGGCAGAATTGGATTCAGTTTTTTCAGCTTGCCAATATAATGATGGTCAAAAATGTCTTTTCATTAACACTAGCTAATATAATTTTGAGTGACTTTTTTTTTAATTCGTAATTTAAATTCTAACCATTAGAAAATAATTTATAATACGCAACCTTGAGAATAAAATCTGTTACTTAACAAGGAAAAGATAATTCTTCTAATTTGGAGAAAGAATAGATTTATGCAATGATTATTGAATGAGAATTATTTTTAAGGAAATAGTTCCAGATTTCATTTAATGATATGTGAACAAAAGTTTTTATCGTAGCTAATTTTAGCAAGGAAGTATGACAACTTACACTGAAATACTTTTAATACTGGAAATATAGATGTAGTTTTCTTCTTAAACAAAAACTTCTTTATATTATAGCTTTATAGAGTCAGGAATTAGTGCTATCATCTATATAATTTCACATCTCACCATGACCCTAAATCACAAAGTTGAATTTTTTTCTCCATTATATCACTCAATCCGATTCACTTAAATGGGTGAAATCTAACTTGCGTTAAATACAAAGCTGTAAGTATAAATCAAATAACTTCTCCCAAAAGGCACTTTTATTCTTGAGAATGCTATTCCTTAAAATATATGTCATACTTTATTTCAGAAATCACAGCTTTCATTCATTCAATGTTTAAATATATAACATAGAATTTATGTTCATCTTTTTAACAATTTTAGTTAAGAGCTGGTATCATTTAAAATGTCAAGGAACTCCAGGCCTGCAGATGTTATACAGATGTCTATTTAAGCAGTATTATTAATTTAATTTTAAAAAGGCATTGTTAACCAATACAAAAATGCAAAGAGTTATGACTGTATAAATATGTAGTAGTATGAACCATTGGGACCAAATTTTGAGAGATCCAATCAGGCATCCTTTTTATGTGTGTGTGATATTATGTCCACAAGCTAATTGCACCCATATTTGGATCTTTGTGCTTGTATTTTGCCACTTATTCTTCTGCCTTAGAACAAGTGGCCAAAGCAGGCCTCAGTTTGTACAAAACTAGCTGTCAGCAAGGTGAGGGAGTGGTGATATCTGGAGAAGATGCATGTGCTCTTAGATACTTAAGGATCTGATGAAAACTGAGCCCTTCAAAATATTACTAAATCTGATCTCATTAGCAGAAACACACTTTTGTCCCCAATATCCCATTATTGTATTAGAAAGAAAATTAACAATCTTTTTTCTTAAACATAGTCTCTGTCAACACATAAACCCACTGAGTAAATTCAGCTATTTAAAATAAAGATAAATTCATTAAAACAACCTGTTTATGGGTTTTCCTATGAGCACGACCAAGTGATTTATTTGGCCATGTTTCACTTTCAAGTGATAATTTTGTGCTAATCTAGCCCAACATGATAAACGGAGACTACTGTATTATTAGTAATACAGCAAATTGGAGACTGCTGTGCCTCAGTTCTTCTGGTCCAGCGCTGTTGTGAACACACGATCCCACTTCTGTCATTTAACTCTGTGGACCTCATCTGTAAAAGAGAAGGACAGAGAGGAGGAGGATGTCCAAGGCCCATTCCAACCCCATCCAGGAGAAGTCTATATGTCCAGGGAATGCAGATCTCTATGAAGGAAAGCCTTTTCTGCAAGGAGGTTTTTTTTCTGAGGAATCCATCAACAAATATTAAACTTTAGACAATGTCTAAATCACAGAGTATTAGAAGAGGACGAGCAAAGATGTGAGGGGTTGAGTATTGATTACAAATCCTGTATGCAGGACCAAATTAGAATTAGAAAGCAAGCTATATTTTGAATGAAAAACACAGAAAAATTATCAAAGATAACTGGGTGGTGAAACAAGCACACCTCTAAATTCTCTACGTTGTTATCTTTTAGTAGTCCTGCTATTGCTGTCCTCCGTATATGGAACTTTGGAACAGCTTTCATGGGCAGATCTTTTTTCTCTCCAATACATACAATCTATTCTGTAGGACAGTCACTTCTTCAGTCTCACTCTTGTCAGGTCTACCTTGTCATTGTCTCTAAAGTACCACCCATTCCATCTCTCTAATTCTTGTCTATCCTTAAAACCTGATCTTATATGTTCCATAGACCCTTCCAGACAACTCTGGCTCTCATGGTGCTTTCTGCATTCTAAACTACCACGGCTACTTAGCCAGAAAGTGGGAGTGGGGGAGTAAAATACAGTCATTGAGTCCCAAGGATCAGGCACTATGGCAGGTGCTATACACATTTTTCTTATACAGAAAAGATTAAGTAATCTGTATAAATTAAACAGTGGTCCACAACCTTCACTGCACATGGAATTACATGAAAAACATTAAAAAAATACTGATACCTGAGTCCCATACCCGGTGGTTCTAATTTAATCAGTCTAGGAAAAAACCTGGGCACGGGGATTTTAACAAGTTTTCCGGGTGACCCTAATGTGCAGTGTTAACATCCATAGAGCTAGCTGGAGGCAGAGCCCAGCTGTCTCCGAAGCTCCAGGTTCTTCCAATACCACATAGATATTTTTACTCAATTATGCATTACTTATATTACACTATAATTATTTTACATGTATAAATTATAATTTATTTGATTATAATCAAATTAAAAGTTTGTTTACAAATTTTTGAGGTTTAACATTATAATTAGGAGGCTTAAATAAGTTCATATATTAAAATGCTGAGAATATCCTTAGCATCTGGCAGGTTATAAAAATGTTAGCTATTTTTTTAAATTCTGAAATTTTAACAGCAGTAGCACCTAATATATAACAAGGCAGATACTTCAACCATGTATTAAATTAAAAACCTTCTAGATATTTTCCTTTATCTCCTCCAGTTTCTCTCTCTTAATATACCCATGCTTATTTCTCTTTCTGTGATCAAGTAGTAAGCCATAAACTAGATAGGCTTTCAAATTTTTTTATTTGTAACTATTTCCACACACACACTTGCATGCACACTTCTGTCACCCCCGAGGTCTAGAATATAAAATGCACCATATTTATGCCCTGAAAGTAGAAATTCTTCCCACTAAAATTAACATCACACCAGATACTTTTGTTAGCAGAACCACAAATCAAAGCCAGAATGAGTAAAGTTATTCACATTTTTTCTTTTTTGCTCAAAAAAGTAACTGGGAATATTTAACTGTTCAATGTTTTAAAGTGAAACATCTTGTGGTAACATGTAAGACCTTCAGGGTAGAGCAGATGACAGAGACAAAAGAGTATGCTCCACAGGAGAGAGAAATGACCACTCTGTATTTAAGGTGCTAGTTCACACTCCATTTCTGAAAATATAAACAAGAAAAAGTCAAAAATCATTTCTTGACTTGTTTTCTAATAGATTATTTATCTACTCGCAAAAAAAGCTAAAGTCTTTTGAATGCATATAACTTTATCAATAAAATAGAAAAGATCTTAAATGAACCAAAAATATTCATTTATCTTATAAGTTTGTGACCTACTTAGTGCCTGAGTCTGCTAGTAACAAAGGTGAGTATGATATTTAACTGTGCTCAATACATTAAATACATTATCCCATTAAATCTTCACAGAACAGTACTTACTTCATATGACAGCTGAAGAAGTAAGGGAACAAGCTAGAAAGAGTTGAAGAGATTCACATAATAAAGGCCATCAATCAAATTTAAAAAACTAGTCTTCAAAATAATAAATTATCAGAATATTAAAGTAATCCTCTTGTATTTTGATTCTCTTGAGAGCAGGGAATATATATATTGCTGGACTGCTAACCTCAGCATGAGTTAAGCTAATGACTCTTGTGGCCAACTGCCTCAATATTAGTGACTCTCATCCACTTTGGTCCTATTCAGTGCCTAATGTACTATTTAAAAATAAGTAAAAAGTGAATAGTATCCGATCACTTAATTTTTAATAAGCGTGTGGTTTCATGGAGCGGAACTGATACCTGACTTCAGCTTGCACTGTGTTATTTCAGAACATTACTACACGTTGCAATTCAGTTTGGTTGGCAGGAGCTCACACATTGCTCCACTGGATTTGTATGATGAGAGTAGTCTTCTTCTCACTGTAACTTCTGTGATGGCGTGCCATAGTTGAACTCTAAAGTTACTTGCAAACTGTAATTTCACTAGTAGAAACTGAACTAAAGGACGTTTTGCTGTCTATTCCAGGCCAATGGATTGTACCTTGCCTTAGTTGTTCAGACAACAGGACCTGCGACTGGAGAGAAATAACTTGGCAGCCCCATAACTGCCAATATGGTGTCTTAACTAAGCCTCAACTGCAGCAGTGCCTGGGAGGAAGGAAGGTAGGTTCTGGATCCAGTGGGGAAAGCTCTTAATTTATGCCACCTGCAGCACCAAAGGCTCTACCACTGTATTTGCTAGACCAACTCCTGCTCTCTCACTCTGCAGAGGATAACTAACTGAATGCAATCTGGCTTTATGAATTCTGTAAATGTTATCATAGAAGAGCCTTAACAATTCTTGCTCAAAAATGCTCAATTATTTCCAAAGAAGTCTCCTTGACAGATGGAGGATATTAAAGTCATGTCCCGTGCTGTTCCAATTCCATGCTGGTCTTCTCAGCACAAATTAGTAAGAGCTCGCCACGTCCACTGACAGTTGGCAGTTCAGAGCAGCTGGCCTTGCCAACTGCAGCTCTAGCAAGACACTTGCAGTTAAAACAGACATCTGTAGCTTGCACGAGCAACAAAACGTTCCTGCATATAAGACTCACTTCTGCTGGAGCTGACCGAGTGCATGGCATTGTCTTCACACACTAACCTTCCTCATCTCTTTCACATTCCCGAGCAGATCTCGCATGGACCTCAGTAGGCTGCTTTTCCGTAGTGTGGCTTCTAAGCTGATTTCTCGGACATGCAGTGTCTTCTTGCTAGGCGTGCTCTGACTAGGTAGATTCCAGCAGAGCTCTTGGACGTGCGAACTGGGCACATAGACTGAGATGCTTGGTTACCATCAAGTAAGTAAGCCTTATCCAGATTTCAAAGCAGTTTTTATTAGATGGGCGTTTCCTTACAAACTGTTTGTAAACTCACACATGGGTACAACTAAGTTCAAAAACTGATTTTTTAAAAAAGCTCTATCCAAGCATAAAGAACAGGCCAGTTTTTCAGATTAAGTTTATGTTCAGATTTTTCTACTAACAAATAATTTCAAAAGAATGACAGGGAATGAGGTGTGGGTCAGAAGAATGTCTTCCCCATAATGATTCCAACATAAATGCCCCAATTTTCATGACCAAGAGTATCTCTAAAGACAACGTTGCAATATTAGTTACTTTAAACAAGGGAAGGCGGGGGGCACAAAAAATTTAGAAATTTATTAACTGTCAATTAATATTAACTGAGCATTGATTCTATGCAAGGAACTGTGCTGCTAACTTTCTCCTACCTTAAGTCCAATCAGACTTAACTTCACAAGGGCAGGGAATGGGTTTGAATCACTGCCATAATCTCATCGTTAGCATAATTTTTGATAGATAGTAATCACCTAATAAGTATTTATTGAGTAAACAGATAAGTTAAAATCTTGTTCATTCCAGGTCATAGTTCTGTTAGGTAGATATTATTATATCTGTTTTCCGCTTAAGAAAATTAAAGCTCAGAGGGGTTGAGTAATTTATTTGTGATCGCACATGTACGTGCGTGGTTAATACTCAGGCATTTTAACCACCAACTTGGATGATCCAACATTTATATCTGAGAAATGCAAGACTGGAAGCAATGAATGTAGTCGTTGCCATAACCGTCAGACTGCAATAAACTCTTTCAGAATATCATTCCGACCTCAGAATTTAGAGGGTTCCGGAAAATTCCAAGATGTCACAATCTATTAACCTGAAAGGCAGTAGATGTTAATTTAAGTTCATCACTAAATTCTGTGGCTTTGGACATGACATATATTTTTTCTCAGACTCATTTTCTTTATGTCAAATAATAAGACGTCTATGTGATCTAATCCTATGCTGTAGATTAATCAATTTTGTAGAAAGCTAAAAAAAAATCCTTCTTTCTTGCCTATCTTAAAATACCATAGACTGGGTGGCTTAAAGAGATACTTATTTCTGAAAGTTCAGAAGGCTGAGAAGTCTAAGACCTGGGTGCCAGTAGGGCACCTCTGTGACCTCATCTAAACCTAGTAACCTCCCCAAAACGCCACCTCCTAATACCACCATGTGGAGGTTAGAGTCTCATCATATGAGTTTAGGAGGGACACAAACTTTGGGTCCTAATATTATCTTTGCTAATTTCAAGGCTGATTATTAACAACACTAATAAATAATAGTAAGGAAAAGGGAAGATCAAGTTATCCCTACTTGTTTGAGAGACAGGATGTTGCAAAGTCTGAAAATATAGGCCTGTGTGGAGATTAGGTGATCCCGGCAGAGACCAGCCAGCTGGCTGCTTAGCAGAAAGGACTTAACTTAGCGATTCTCCTAGTCCAGAGGTGTCCTTCAGGCTTTTGTGCTCAGAAACTCAAATTTGTTAGCACACTAGCAATGGTCCTACAGCTGTTTTGTTTATTTACCAGGATGCTACTTTATTCTATACACAACAGGGAAGCCCTGTATTTTTAGCAGAAGAGTGACACAACAGAATTAGAAAATACATCCTGCAGCAGTGTCTAGGAGACTGTCTAGGAGAAGGAGGAAATGGGTGCTCGGCAGGCAGAGGCTGTTTAATGGAAAAATTCAGTCATGCAATATTAAGAAGGCAAAAAAGTGTAGAATATGTACAGAAGAACCCGATCGATGGAAAAACTAATGCAAGCAGGCTTACATACACAGAAAATTTCTGGAAATAACAAAGAGTTAAGAGTGATCACATAAGTCGAAAGAACTGGAAGAGGGGTGGAGTGGTGACAGGACCGGCTACAAATTTTTCGAGGCCCAGTGCAAAACGAAAATGTAGGACCCTGTGTTCAAAAGTTATTAAGAATTTCAAGAAATCGACAGCAATAAAACAAGCACAGGACCCTTGTGAAGGCCCAGGTCAGATGCTATCTGTATTATTTTCATTTTTTTTTTACAATGCGTTAGCATTTTTTTTAATTCAAATATCTATATCTTAAAAGGTCATATAAATCAGAATTAAGGCAGAAGCAGTGGAAATGCAAAGGATAAAGCGCCTGAGAAAGATCATTTATATTCAGAATCACAGGACTTGGAATGTCCAGGCAGGTGCCTATGCTCATACACCTCCCAACACGGAGATAGTTTTGTAAACATTCACAATTATAACTATGAAATAGTACTTATTTTATGGATAGGGGTAGGTTGGCCAAAGTTTTTCCCAGTGCCACTATTTCTCACTTTCTTTGAAAATAATATAAATATACAAAGTGATCCCCAAACTTACCTTTTTTACTAAAACAATTAAGTTCTCATGCTATCAGGAATTTTCTATAAGCACCATTCTATTCCAAAGACAAATAAATGTTAAAGCATAACAATTACAAAAAATTAGAAAAAGAAATAACATAAATATTTTGGTTTTTAAACACTTTATATAACTGTGGAGGGGCATCTCTTTCAACCATGTCAAACATTCAAGAAAAGAAACATATAATTTGAGGGACATTATGCAGAAATTCATTTCACATATGCATAAGGACAGCAAGGTCATGGGGTAGTAAGAGCCTCAGACTGGTAATCAGGAAGCCTGTGCTGCAGTTCTGATCCCATCAGATAAAGTGATATTTTTTATTCATCGAACCCATCAGAGTAACTCTACTGCTCCCATGTCGGAAAGCTGGCAATATCCATTACTCCCAACATGTTACCACAGAGGAGAGTCCAGCTGATCGCTTAACAGACTTAAGCTCAGAAAACTTTTTATAACTTTTGTGATGTCTCATTGTTTATTTATTCATCCCGAACATGATCCTCTAAGGTGTTAGATTTCTCTCAGAAGAAAACAAAAGAGAGAAATGATCATTACAATACAGTGTGACAATTGCAAAGGTAGGGAGAAGCACAGGGGCTGGCACCTGACCCGGATGCACAGGTTCTGGAAAAGTTACTAAGAAGTGTCGGGACAGAGGGTGTTGGTAGTTACAGGCAACCTACCAATCACACTACTTAAAATAGTTTAATTAAACTAGAAATACATAGGGATCTTCACTTTTTTCCCAAAAGAATCTACAGTGAGAATCCTATCACTAGAGCTTAGTGCTTTCTTGATTCCCCTCTTACTGGAGGAAACAGATGATGGACAGGAACCAAGCAGGTGAGGAGTGGACCAGAGATGATTGCAAGTTTCTCATTTTCCTGTGGGCTCTAATTTATGCATCTTAGATTCTGGAAAAGTGAGGATATACTTAAACAAGAAAACTTTAAAGGTATAGTAGCCTTACTAACCTGAAGACTTTTGATTAATATGTAAAACTCAGATTTTCACAGTGAGAATCCAAAAGTTTCATCATTGCCAGGAATAAGTAGTACCAATATGTTATGCTAAAAACTAAACAAAACAAAACCCCAGAACTTTATTTCAGTCCTAATCAAGGCAAGCTTCAGCTTTGGGGGATGCATTAAATTGAGTTATCTTTCTGCAAAAATCAGATTAAAAGGCAACAGAATTTGACTGGGCCGGTGAGAATTACTGGAAACGTAAGCCTTCAAATAGCATTCTGCTTTTTTTAGATTTTCCAAGAAGCCATTTCTCTCCATTGAATCTCCTTATGGTATTATTATGAGCTTTTGCATCTTTTTACTACTGTTTTACATTGATGAATGCAAAACTATACTTGGACATGGATGCCCACCTATGAGAAGAAAAAGACACACGATAGTTGATATTTTAAAAGTGGTTCACGTTTCCAGTAACCTCGACCAGGAATCCCTCTGTGCTTAGTGGCTCGTGAGCTGAACTGTGTGCTTCAGTCATTTGTCTTCACTTCAAAAGAGTGAGCCGGAGTCTGATCTGTGGAGGAGGCTGAAGCAAAGTTTCTCCTCAAAGCATTTGTATTCATTTCTATAGCATACTTGTTTATGTATACAAGGCAAGTAAATGTGGGACTCCTTTTAAAAAATTATCCAGATGTAAGTTATTTTATTTATAGGTTTTTGCATGTATATATAGGTTTTGTGACGTGTAATCATGTTGAAACAAAGCAAAATCGATTGAAAAATATAAGCTCTGTTTTCATTTATACTCTCACACATTTTTCTAAATGTGTACCCACCTCTTTGTAAACCATGAATGGAACATTTGTAAAAAATTTATCAGAGCACAACTTTAAAATCACAGCACAAAATATATAGAAATAGTTTAGAAATATGATG